GTCATTGTTGTTTGGCGGGTCCGGGCTGGGGATTCGAACCCGCCACCTTAGGTGTACGTGGCTGGCGCCTTAGCCGGTTGAGCCATAGGCGCCGAGCCTAGAGGACTTTTAAGATCTGGTTCATTCACAAAAAAAACAAAAAACTTCATTTTCAGAATCTATAGACATTGAACACAAAGGTACTCTGTGTTCATATTAAGAGAGTTCAGTATTACCACTGAGTTCAAGTGAAACCTAACAGTGTGACAAAGTGTGAACTAAGAATACTCAGAGGTTAGCAGTTGAATACAGGAGTCAGCACAGGCCTTAGAATCCAGCAGACCTAAGACTATAGCCAAGCATGGCCCCCTTCTGGCTATGTGACCTGGGACAAGTCATTTAACTTTTTTAAATCTTAATTTCCTCATTTGTAAAATGGAGACTACACACCTACCTTACAGATTTACTGTGAGGAATAAACTAACACATACACAAAGCACGAAGCACAGTGCTTGGCACATAGGAATTTCTTCCAGAAGTTAAGTAGCTTGCCCAAGGCATCACAGCCACACAAAGGTGGATCAGCTCAAGATTCAAATGCATGTTCTTATGACCCTGAATTTGGTGCTCTTTCTACTTTAAGTGCTTTCCCAGAACATGTCTACTACTGTACTATTCTTCTCAAATAAATCAATAGCCAATGTCCTTCCCTTCAATGCTATAGTTCCATAAAGTTTTGCAAGGTCTTCCCTTTTATGCTCATTTCAGTAGGTATATTCCCCTTTCCTAACCCTTCTTCAGGCAGGCGATAGAAAGAGAATGTATAAATACATTGTAAACTATACAGGTTATGACACTATAAACCATGTTAGGTAACTAATGAAGAGCGAACAGTCAGATTATCTGTCTCTCACCTCTTGCAGAATCTTCAACAGCTCCTCTCGAATCTTTAATGCTGGCAAACTCCTATCTGGTAGAGGTGAGAGCCATTCTTTGATGGCAGACATCACGCCACTGTCAATAAATGTTTCTTTAAGGTCCTGCCTGTAATAATAATTAAAAAAAAAAATAAAGTCAACTCTGTGAACCTCATTTCTCCTGTATAGTCTCACTTTTTTTTTTTTTTCAGATAGAGACTTATTATGTCACCCTTGGTAGAGTGCTGTGGTGTCACAGCCCACAGCAACCTCAAACTCTTGGGCTTAAACAGTTCTCTTGCCTCAGCCTCCCAAGTAGCTGGGACTACAGGTACCTGACACAACACCTGGCTATTTTTTTGTTGCAGTTGGTTAGCTGGCCCAGGCTGGGTTCGAACCTGCCACCCTGGATGTATGTGGTTGGCACCATAACCACTGTGCTATAGGCGCCAAGCTTATCTTCTGACTTCTTACACATTTAGTGATGTTTCCAAGAACTACTTTAAAAAAGTTAGTTATAGACAGTCAATATTTACTAAGTACCTATTCTGGTTTCAGAAGCAATATGAACTTTAGTTCTTTTCTTTTTTGTCAGCAGGTACAGGCTGAGTTTTAACCTGCCAACCCCAGTGCATGGGGCTGGCACTCTAACCAAAGAGCTATGGGCTCCCAGCCTTTAGTTCTTATTTTCCAGAAATATATGCCTGATAAAGAAGATCTGCTGAAATAAAATTTAAGCAAACTCAGATTACACAAGATAGATTACTCCTGGTATCAGTGGTACAAACAGTAAAGAATGAGCCCTAATCATTACAGCTAAAAAAAAAATGATGTTCAATCCATCAGAATAGTGATTCTCAAACAGTTTCAGGTGGTAGTAAACCTGGAACTGTGCTATTCTCTGTAGGACACCAAATCTCAATAAAATAGTAATGTTCAAAACTCAATTTTATGCACTGGAATCAGTTATGTTAGTAGAAAACATGACAGTATTATTTACATAAAACCAGCGACAAATAATGTGGGCTAATGTACTAGAGAGAGGGGGCAATTTTCTAGCTACAAATGTCCTAGGCCATGCTGGTGGCTCACTAGCAACATTAATGCATTTCTTTAGTCATTGAAAGTAGGCTGCAAGTTCAAAGAAAAAAGCAAAGTTGCTCAGAAATATGAGCAAACCAATGAACAAAAGTGGTAACAAGGGTCTATTAAGAAGGAATCATTATTTCAGAAGGATCAGTGACTGTGATATTAACAGGGCCACAGACCCCTTGAATAAGTGTGCTGCAAGTAGTCTCCCAAGATTTGCTCTTTTTAATCACAGTGGGAAAACAGCAATTTTACCAAACCCAAACTGTCAGTAGAGAACAAAATTAGTAGTTCCAAGTTTTTATTTCATTTATATTTTACTATTTGTTCTGTTTGATCAGGCATCAAGGTTTAATAAAAATTTGTGAAGTATAATTTAGGAAATTTTATTACTAATTTTCTGTGAACTGACAGAAGGCTACCATTACTTAATACCCCTAGAACACCAGTCTGCCATCTGAATACCATTCTATGGTAAGAAAAGAAAAGCTTTTTCAAGAAAATATATTACTTACTTCTTAAGATGCATAACCACAGTAGGTAACAAAGTTAATTTTTTCAGTGCTGGCTTTTTTTGATTATTCAACTGTCTGTCTTCCTATTCAGAAAAAAAGATTAAATTAGAACCACAGCAAATTAGGAACCAAAAAATAAAATAAAGCAGTAAGTCCTCAAAGAAACTATAATTTTTCCTAAAAGAAAGATTAACAAATGGATTTTGGGCAGAGAACCAATCTATGCATGTGTCTGTGTCAAACTCACAAAACCATTATAATAATTACCTTTAACAACTACAGACTGAAAGAAACAATTTTGATTTAAAATACTGACATAACTGTCAAGTTTTTTTTTTTTGGACATAGAGTTTCACTATGTCGCCCTCGGTAGAGTGCCGTGGTATCAAAGCTCATAGCAACCTCAAACTCTTGAGCTTAAGTGATTCTCTTGCCTCAGCCTCACAAGTAGCTGGGACTACAGGTGCCCGCCACAATGCCTGGCTAGTTTTTGGTTGCAGTTGTCATCATTGTCTGGCAGGCCAGGGCTGGGTTCGAACCCGCTGGCCCCGGCGTATGTGGCTGGCACCCTAGCCACTGATCTATAGGTGCCAATTCATAATTGTCAGGTTTTCAAAGAGTTCATTCAAGGGACAAATTATACCTGGAAAATTTTGGAATAATTTTCTAGATGTGATGTTTGGTTATTAGTGGAATATATTATCAAAGAAAAATTTCAGCATTTATTGGGCATTTTTTTTCCTCTATTTTTGTTACAAAAAATTTCAAATTTTATGAACGTAAAATACCGAAATATCTGTCACATACGTTTCAACAACTAAACCCACATAACCAGTCTTATTTTTTAGCTAGACGTCAAGCTACTTTCCCTCCACCTCTGAATTGCTTTGAGATATATCCCAGACAGATCATTGAACCTATTAATACTTTTTTCCTTTTTTTTTTTTGTATTAAATCATAGCTGTGTACATTAACGCAATCATGGGGTACAACACAATCTGAAATGCTTTCACCAAACTGGTTAACATAGCCTTCATGGCATTTTCTTAGTTATTGTGTTAAGACATTTATATTCTACACGTAGTAAATTTCACATGTACCCTTGTAAGATGCACTGTACGTATGGTCCCACTAACGACTCTCCCTCCCCCATCCTCCCCTCTCTCCTCCTATTAATACTTTAAAAGCAAGTATCTCTAAAAGACCAGAACTTATATTTCAGACATAATACTGAGCCAAATGTTCTAATTTGACAGATTTTAAAAACACAATGACTTCAATACAGTCTCATGATTGGGGTAAGAGAATGACACATACATTTATAACACATTTTCATATATGAAGAAACATTGTTAAACTTCGTGGCTAACTAACCAACCTGAGAATAAAACCAATGCCCCATAAAACTAGCAAAGCCATTCACCTAGAAAGGGCAATTTTACTTTAGTCTTTTCACTTTTGCAAACATGATTAAAAAATTAAAATTATTCCCATACTTAAAATTAGTGCCTTAAGGTTCAGCACCTATAGTTCAAGTTGCTAAGGTTCCAGCCACATACACCAGAGCTGGCAGGTTCAAAGCTAGCCCAGGCCTGCCAAACAACGACGACAACTACAACCAAAAAATAGCCGAGCATTGTGGCGGGCACCTGTAGTCCTAGTTACTTGGGAGGCTGAGGCAAGAGAATCGCTTAAGCCCAGGAGTCGGAGGTTGCTGTGAGCTGTGATGCCACAGCACTCTACCCAAGGTGACAGCTTGAGGCTCTGACTCTCCTATGGAGCATACTGCAAATACAAGTTGGATCTATCAGCTGTAAAACACAAATGTCTTAACGCTGTGTTTGGGTAAATGAGGCGAAGCCTGTGTTATTAGGATGTAAGCACTCCAATTTGTACAAATAATCAACACATTGAATCCCATACATTTATTCATGATCTATGTACAGATGACTTAATTAAAAATTAAAAAAAAATTACTGCCTTAAATGTAGTTTAAATAAGGGTTTAAGAATTAAGAAAAAAAAAGGCACCCAACTAATCCAGTGGCGGAAAGAGAAAGTGAACCTAGAAGTGACTCATCTCACCTCAGCAGCTTCATTCATCTTCACAATCATGGCACTCACAACATCATCTGCGTCACTAATAAAGGTGCCACCGTCACGGTTCCGTCTGCGCTTGCCACTCATGCTCTTTTTCCTCTGCAACATCATCTCAAAATCCGACAGAAAATCCATACTGAAGGAATAACGCAAAATCAAATAAAATACAAGTTCTCTTTTAAAAACACATTTATTTTTTCACATCAAATTTCCTAATTCTAACTCTATGAACTACTTTCCAGTCCTGCAAGCTCCATTCATGGTAAGTGCCCCATACAAGCATACCATTTTTTCTTTTATACTCTATTTTTACTGCACATTTTCTATGTTTAGATACACAAACACTACTGTGTTACAAATGCCTACAGTATTCAGTACAATATGCTGTACACAGGTCTGCAGTTTAGAAGCAACGGCTATACCATACAGCGTAGGTGTGTAGTAGGCTATACTACCTAGGTTTGTGTACGTACATCCTATGACATTTTCACAACGACGAAGCAATACATTTCTCAGAGTATATCCCTGTTGGTAAGTGACACATAAACGTCCTTACCACTTGCTATTAAAAGAAAAGTTGATCCCAGATACTACATCCAACTTATACACTACCCATACACTACCCCAACTGTGTATGTTAATTACTAATAACCCTAAACTTCTCACACACTATCTTCATATTTGTATCTATTGGCTTGAGAAGGAATATTTTGAGTTCTCATTCAGGGAACTCATTCAGCTTTAGTTGCACTGCCTTTTTTTGGGAATACAATGGTGTCCAAATTATTTGAATGTTTTTGTCTTAATATAGCATGAGTAGAAAAAAAAAAATAACGCCTTTCAGTGATAAGAAGTGCAACTCTCAGCTCGGCGCCTGTGGCTCAAGTGGCTAAGGTGCCAGCCACATACACTTAAGGTGGTGGGTCTGAATCCAGCCCGGGCCCGCCAAAGAACAATGACAGCTGCAACCAAAAAAAATAGCCGGGCGTTGTGGCGGGCGCCTGTGGTCCCAGCTACTTGGGAGGCAGAGGCAGAACATTCACTTGAGCCCAGGAGGTGGAGGTTACTGTGAGCTGTGATACCATGGTACTCTACGCAGAGGACAGCTTGAGGCTCTGCCTCAAAAAAAAAAAAAAAAAGTGCAACTCTCAAAATATAATGTAACTGAGATAAATATACACATCTACTACAGACTCACTAGGCGCTTCAAACCTACTGTATTTCTAAAATTAAGTTACTTTTCAGAAGAGTTTACTTGGTAAGCCATAAATTAAGAGTCTGATTCCATATAAATCTAACTCCCCAAATTAAGTCATCTGAGCACAGGGTAAACGAAAGAAAAATAACAATTAATTTGCTGACAGCACTGTATACAGAGAAGTACAACAGAGAAAAATGGGAATAGATTCTCTCCTCAACTTAACCAGGAACCAAATGAAAAGCAAATGGAAGTTCAACAGTCTCTACCTTCATTTTTTAACTTCTCTTTAGCAAATCCCTTAAAAACAAACAAACTTACTGTTTTCCTCTCTTTATGTTATCATCAGAATCTGAATCTTCTGCTTCCTTTACCTGTGTTTCACCTTTCTCTTCTTCCAAATCTTCTTGGTTAAAACCCTAAATGCAGAATGAGCCAAAGTTATCATAACATCCTTACAGATTGTCTTTTGTATAACTGCTCTTAAATTTTTGCATTTGTAAAGTACAGTTTGCATTTGTAAAGTAATACCTATTTAACAAAAGTTAAAGTTTAACAAAAGTTAAGTAGGTATTAAAAGGCATATGTACCAAAAATTCTCCCTAGCTACCAGTGTTTCTAAATTTCTTACATTTCCTTCCAGAAAGAGTTTACTTTTATACAAGCACTTCTACACATACATATTTAGCATCTCTCTTTTCATACAAATGGCAGCATATTATTCATAGCGGGTATGGGATACTGCTCTACACACTCAAAGTTTAACAGAATCTGGAAGTCAATTCATGTCAGCATTAAGTACTACTCCTTTTAAGATTCTGACTATTTCACCATGTGGCTGTAACCATAATTTGTTCACATATTTCCCTACTGACATTTAATTTGGGATATTTGAAATTTTGAGAAATATTTGCCAAGTTGACTTCTACAGAGTTTATACTAATCATTTCTTCTTTGAGCAAAGTATGAATGTAGCTCTTTCTCCAACTTCTCACTGCCACAGGTTATCGAGCATTGCCATAGGCCCATCACTGGACCCCAACACAAAAGGCATCCCAGTGTAGTTTTTTACATTCTCTTTTTGTGAGTAAGGCCGGGCATTTTTTCATGTTCATGAAGCCATTTGTTCAATTCTGTTCCTGTGAATGCTCAATATTCCACGTTCTTTTTTGTCTTTTTGAGACAAAGTCTCACTATGTCACCCTCAGTAGAATGCCATGATGTCACAGCTCACAGCAACCTCAAACTCTTGGGCTTAAGCAATTCTCTTGCCTCAGCCTCCCAAGCAGCTGGGACTACAGGCACTCACCACAACACCTGGCTATTTTTTTTTGTCATTGTTGTTTAGCAGGCCCTGGCCAGGTTCAAACCCGCCAGTCCCACTGCACGCTTGGCACCCTACAATGAGCCACATGCACCGAGCCAATGCTCATATTTTTGGCTGAACTGGTCACCTTTTTCCTATTAGTGCATAAAATGTCCTTAAAAATTAGAAATAACCCTCTGCTAGTGACAACAACTACACAATCCCTAAATCTGTATGGTTTGGTTTTGTTTATGCTAATGTTTGCCAGGAATAATTTTTAAACTTTTATGTAAATGAAATAACCAGTCTTTTCTTCATAACTTCTAACTCCCGTGTTATACTTAGAGAAGTATAACACCTATATAGTCACCTATATAGTGTTTCTTCTCACTCAAGTAAAACTATTAATATTATAAGCAAGTTGGTATTAACTTCCCAAACTAGATAAATTTTTATCCTTGTAATATGCTGCTTAAGTGAAGATGAGCTTCATGAGGTCCAAAGAGCCTCTGGCAATACAGTTTCTCAAGGACTTGTGGCTAATTCTTCCTTTATATTTTCCTTAGGTTTACTTATTCAAATTCATTCACTTTCTCTTTCTCCTGCTTCAGTAAAAAAAGCATTGATTTCTTTCTTGATCCAAGAACTAATTTGTTAGGCTTTAAACTGGTGAGTGGCAAGGGTATTTTGTTTGCTGATTTATTTATTAATTTTTAGTTTCACTGCATTGCACTCAGAAAAAAATTATCTATACCTTGTACTTTTTAAAAAACTTGGTCTAAAATTTATATGGAAATGCTGGCTGGCCATGGTGACTCAAGCTTCTAATTCTAGTATTTAGGAGGCTGAGGCAGGAGGATCACTTCAGGCCAGGAGTTCAAGACCAGCCTGAGCAATATAGCAAGACCTCATCTCTGAAAAAATATTTTTTCAAAAGGTTATTCAGGTGGAGTGGTATAGTCCTGTAGTTCCAGCTACTCAGGAGGCTAAGGCAAAAGGATAACTGGAGCCCAGAAGTTGAAGGCTGCAGTGAGCTATGAATGTGCCACTGCACTTTAGCCTCGGCAACAGAACAGACTAGTCTCAAAAACAAAAAGTACATGCATACATAAAGAACCAAGAAAAGTCCAGGCAATATTGAAGAATAACAAGCTCGGAGAACATAAACAACCAATTATCAAGTGTTATGTATTAATGGTACAAGATAAAGAGACCAAAAGAACAGAAAGATAGTGCAGAAATACTAGAATATATACATTTAGACATTCAATTTCTGACAAAGATGGCACTAAAAAGTAGTAGGAAAGCATGACCCTTTCAATAAATAGTGCTAGGTTAATTGGATAGTTCAAATGGGGAGAAAAATCTTCACTTTTACTTCATACCACATGCAAAACCCAACTCTAGGTAGGTATCACAACTATATGAAGGATAAAATATTCTAGCTTCTAGAACATAATTTGGGAGAGAATATTTTCATGACTTTAGGGATATGCAAAAATTTCTAGGACAATTTAAAAACCTTTCACCATAAAGAAAAAGACTGGTCAATTTAATCTATTAAATATATTAAGAACTTCTGTGCATCAAAAGACTCTCCATCAACAAAGTGAAAAAGAAAACAATGAAAGAAGATACTTTAAAACTTTCAAAATTTGTTATTTAGTGTATACCATTTTAAAACCTTTTATCAATATAAAGTGACCCTCTTTAACTCAAGTTATGTTTTTTACCTTGAAGTCTACCTCTTTGATAACAAGTTTTCTTCTGGCTAGAGTTCACACAGAGTATCTTTTCCTAATGTTTTATTTTCAACTTTTATCTTATTTCAGATGAATCTTAAAATCAGTATACAGCTGATTTATAAAATCCAGTCTGAGCACTTCTGTCCTTTAACTGGAGCATTTAGTACGTTTATAGTTAATGTAATCTAATAGTAACAAAATTTAAATCTGCTATTTTACCAAATACTAGTTCTGGTGTCCCCTGTTACATAGTTCTTTTGGTCTTTTCTTGCATCCATTGGGACTGATTAGCTTTAATTATTCCATTTTTTCCCCCACTCTTAGTTCGGAAGTTACACATTTTTTACAGTCTTTTTAGTGGCTACTTAACACACACCTTAACTTAACAGTCTGCCAATATACACCTACCTACATTTGCAAAGACCTGTAAGCACTTCAATTCCATGTGTACTCCCAATTTCTTACTGTTATCATGCATTTTAATTTTATATACTTTTATACCATATTACTGTTTGTTTTATATAGTTAATACTCATTTAGGCCTATACACATTCTTGCTCTTTTTTCCTTCTTGCATTTCTACCCTTTCACTTTATTTTCTTTCTGCATTTCTCTATTTCTTTCACTTGATGCACTATTAATTCTCTCCTCTTTTCATCTTCATGCCTAACAAGTATTTTTGCTGAACTTAAAATAACTCCAAGTTTGCAGTTACTGGAGTCTTATTTCTGTCACAGCCTCAACTATTGTCTGTTGATTTTCTGAACGTGGTAATTTTCCTGTGGCTGTTTTTAAGACTTCTTTTCTTTTTTTTTTTTTTTTTTT